GCGTGTATCCTGTGAAGCGTATTTAAATTTGTACATCCTGAAAATATATCAGCCCTTTTAAAGAATAATTTCCTATAGGCAACCTTGAAAAAGATACGGAAGTTTAGCAATCTGAGAACATTTATTGTATACTGTAGACTTGCCTTTGTAATTATAAATTTGAGCCTTGGCTGCCCCCAAACATTTGTATTACTATGCTCTGATTATACGGGAAATTGTAGTCCTTCAACCATTAGATTCTTGGCTTAGGAACAGATACCTGGCTGTTTAGCTGTTAAATGCTCCATTGTTATTCTCTAACAAGTCTATAGCATGGCCTATAAGAGGTTAATGTGCAAGACAACCCACACCCACAAAACTATTTTTATACAAATTATATTTGTATTGAATTACAGTTTGTTTGCTTAATTTTTTCAGTTTTTCCTCCTGACACTGGTAATCAAAGAAAGAGATCAAAGCTGCGTCTGTCAGTCTGCTGACGAACTCTGTTAAAAACCTAAAGCTTTGAATCACTTCTGTTATTAGAAAAACTTTCATCACTTCATCTACTGTGGCACCCACAGGAAGCCAACACTGTTTATCAAATGATATCAGAATCACAACATTGTATCTAAAAGTGGACTTCAAAGCTGAAGTAGGAATATTTTTGGCTGTCTTCATACGTTTTCTGTTATTTGTTCTCCTTACCGTCTTTATTAGTCTACAACATCTGTATACACCTTCTCTCTTTCCTTCCTCCTGTCTTCTATTCTCCCTCTCTTTCTCCCCAAACCCCATTTACCACTTCACTTTACTTCACTTAATCTCTCCCTCCTATTCTCTTTGACATGTCTGTGTTTCCTGTCCTTTGTGAAACCCTCCTCTCTGTCACATCTTGTTTTCCTTATTCTATCCTGTTTTAATTTAGTTCCCTCCTCCTTGTACAGCAGAGTCACGCTATTGGAGGAAATGGGTGAATAGTGACTGCTGAGTGACAGGTTATTCTGGGCCGCCAGTGGAGGAAAACATAGCGAGGTAATGGAGGTAAACGTCCGGTCAGTAGGCTGGCTGGTACACAAACAATAGGCTAGGAGGTTCTGGGCAGCGACACAGTCAGAACTGCTGCCAGCTCACCCAAATAAATACAGCTTGCCTTGTCCCTACTATTATGTCTATCTTCAAGTACCTAACCGTGTGTTCACACCTAAACTATGGATGGCTTGCTTTGTTCCGACTCCAGCTACATGATTCCACATTTTGAATTGTGTCTTAAAAATAAGACTTCTAACCTTTATTAAGCCACATTTTAGTTGCCATATTTTTCACCCTTAAAACATATAAACATACCTTTTGTCTTGCCATAGTGCCAACATTAAGCCACTGTGTGATCTTTTCCAAGGCATACATACAGTATATGCAAGTCGGTCTGGTGACAGTTTTAGAAGATTTGTATTGCTGTAGCTTTAGACTAAATAGTAAGGGATCTAACAGCAATCCTTGAGGCACACCCTAATATAAGGCCCACAAAATAATACAGAAGGATAAGTAAATTATAACCATATGTATCTTTTTGACATGTTTTTTTGCAAGTTTCACAAAATGTAAATATTTCAAAATGTACAATAAATCAGGAAAGGCCATAGGTAGGAGGCTCAGAGGTTATTGAGTTGCAAGCGGGCTTCAAACTCATGATGGGCAAAAACCAGGAAACAGGATACACACAAGTTTACAGAAAATATTTCCACTACTGGCACAATATGCCCCATACTTAGATCACTATAAACTATTCTCACGACACAGTACAAATTAATTCAAAAATACCTAATATACAAATGATCATATAATGCTCACTACGTTGGCTTGGGCAACAAACCAAGCACATGAGCTGGAAAGCAGCTTAGGCCAACCAAACAACACACTGAAATGAAATAAGCATAACCAAAACAAAAGAATATCAGATTAGGGCAAAACAAAATCAAATCAAAGATGCAACTTAATGCAGACGAAAGGCACCTACAGTATCACAATTGAACAAAGCTGCAACTAAAGCAGAGATAGTACACACAACACAACTAAAAAGGTAGAATAAAGGCAGGTGTACAGCATAGCAAGGCAACAGTTTAGGTCATCGCACAACAAGAGTAACAGGCGAAAATATCTCTGTATTCAATGGTGAAAGAGTCTCATTGCTCTGCACGCCAACAAGGTGTACATACACACATATCCTAAGGAACCAAAGCATCAGAGGTAGAAAAACAAACAAAGAGGGCTACTGAGTGTAATTTGGCATGTGAGGAGGACAACATTCTCATTGGCTAGACCTCAAACTAAGGGGGCGTGCACTTTCAACCAGCCAGTAAGGGCTGGGCAATATGCTGATATAGTGATATGAGATGAGATATCAACTTAGATTTTGGATATCGTAATATGGCAAAAGTATTGTCTTTTCATCGTTCTAAAGGCTGCATTAATGTCTTTTTTCAAATGTGTAATATTTTCTTTATCCACAAGTCATTTCCAGTTCACTAATGATTATCTATCAAAAATCTCATCTCAGTGTTAATATTTTATGAAAACAGTGATTACCCAAACAGTTGACAGTTACATTATGTTTGAACCTATATTTGATATATCCCAGATTGCAAAGCCCTACAGCCAGTTACATTTCACTGTAAGAGTTCAAATAAAGGATGTTAACATGTTCTGAATTCAATTAGGTCCTGTTTTTAGTTGGTTCATACTGTATTAATTTCCAGAATTTATGAAACATTATAAAACATATCCACAAAGACAAATAGAGTTACAATTGATACTGTCAACCAACCCGTAAATATGTAACTGACATCTATATCCTGTCTCTGTCTGGAGGCATTAGCCCAAGTGACACACACACACACACACACACACACACACACACACACACACACACACACACACACACACACACACACACACACACACACACACACACACACAATATGCAATGCAACAAGCTCTGATTAAATATGTATTCATTGTAGAAAACAGTTTTAAAAACCCATATTTGCCATAACAGTGTGTGGACTGCAACTTCACAGGCATCCCAACATTACACAGATAATGAGTAAACAAAAATGTATAACCAATCAAACAAAAACCCACCTTTCCCAATCAATGAATTTGTTAAAAAATACTATTACTATTTTTCCCACCTGTGGCTACTTTTCAAAACCCAGTCATCATAGGTAGGAAGGATCTGTCCCGGGGTTTCTCACATTGATGAGTTTTTCGTTGGCAGGGAACTGTACATATTGCGGGTCTGGAAACTGAAAACAAAACAAAAAAATGTATCTATGCAATACATTGACTGGGTATAGATAAAAGTTGTCTTTAATTATGAGTAACTTCCACCATCTACCAACATGTCCCACAAGATTGTACTGCAGGTTTACAAAAATAACGCTGTCTCAGTCAGTGCCAGTTACAAGCTATGAAACAACATAAACAAACAGAATATGCCAATTACACTTACCATTCAGACAGGCCGGCTAGCCACCGAGTTAAGTGGATAACAAACTCCTAATTTGAGACTGCATGTATAGATGAATCTCGAAGAGTTTAAATGTTAAGACAACACACCTTTGAAATTACAGATACCAAAACGTATCAGGATAGCTCCGGTGCACACAACACCATTGGCGCCAAAGCTCGAACAGCGGTCCTCGGCAGGGCAAGTCCAAAACCAGTTTATCATGTTAAGCACTGTTAAAACATATTAACAGATTAAAACGTTCTCTAGGTAAGGAGAATCTGAATAGAATGCTAGGCTGTGTGGAATCACCCCTGACATGGAGCAAAAGTTATTTTGGGCCTAAATGTTTTTTAGGGTTGATTCTGTCAGTATACTCCCTGGCTGTCACTCTTCACACACATTATATACAAGGTTCATTTGATCTATTCAGAGTAAGTGAAACACAATCATGACCTTATTTCTTCCTCTGTGAGTGCTATCCATCCACCATGGTGCTGATCCTACTGCACTTCTCAGATGAATCTTGTGCTCTTCCAAGATAAAGGATCTCTATTCTTACCAACCAATAATGAACTCAGAGGTTAAATACGCCTGCAAACAATATAGTGACCACAAAGGCTATGCTCTATGTTTAGAGACTCCACTAAATAACTCCATCTCTGATAGGCCTATACATTAGTCTTCTTCCAAAAGTGTAAAGACAGTCTTGAGTTCTTCCAAAAATGTAAAGCCAGAATTGAGTTGTTAAGTATAATTTCTATTTGTTTTAATAGATGGTATGTATTGAATCTTTGCTGTTGATAAACAACATCAAATGTATTTCAAGCTTGTTTTTTTTTCTTACAAAACAAAATAAAAAGTAAAGAAGTAAAGTAGACTCAATTAATCCATGTAAGACACAAATTAGAATCCATATTCATCCTCCATCTGTTGATAAGCGTAGATTAATATTTTAGATAACACACACACACACACACACACACACACACACACACACACACACACACACACACACACACACACACACACACACACACACACACACACACACACACACACACAAACGCACATTCTGGCAACAGTAGCAGACTAGCAGGACGAGCAACTGTTTCCATGGTCGACACAACAATGATATGTATTCAGTTGCCTTAAAATAGGCCCGTTTTTTCTTCTTAAAATGTTTAAGATGAGGGTGAAAGTAATAACATGTAGAGATGTTCACCTTTGCATCTCTCCAAAATCATCTTGCAGCGCTCTCTGGTGGATTTAATATGACTGACATTTCAGAGAGCAAGGGCATTTTGACACGTAGGCTATGTGGTTGTTGTATCATTAAACTGTACAAATCCCCCTGACATTGAACCAAATCTTCCCTTAGTTGCAGATATGTGTAAATGCTATAATATTTCCCAGTTTGCATGAGATTTAAACCCATTGCAATGATGTAATGTCATTATTTTATTTTGAAAAACACAATGTCCGGAAGTGGCGCTTGGAATTTGGCATGCGCATAATACAGAGGAAGAAAAACACCAGTGTTTAGCCGACGGTATACAATTGTAAACATTAGCCACCCGGTCAACTTCTTCCTGTCGTTAGGATGGAAATATAAGGTAAACCCCCGTCTTAATTAGCTTTGATTTTTTTAATAACTGTCACCGTAAACAATGTCAACACATACCGTTTTGGAAGCGTTAACTTATTTAATGTTAGCATTACAGTTTAGTACATCCGTGCATTCTGAATGATGTCTAGGCAAACTCAAGCGGCCACAGACACCCTAAACATGTCAGCATACTTGGAAATGTCTTCATGTGTTGCTATATTTCGTTTTGTTTGTTTGCAATCATTTATTTGACCGTTTCGTGTGTTTTGAGTTAGGGGTCGCCTGTGGATTCCATACTGCTAAGTTAGCAATAGCACATAGCATCAACCGACATCCTCGGGAAGTAGCTTTTAATATATAACTCAGGTGCAGGACTTCTTCTTTTAGTATTTATAATGTGTTTCTGTAACAACTTTTGATTAACCTCAATGAAACCACATTCGTCGCATAACATTGTAAATGGTGGTTAACGTTTGGTAGCTAGCAGTGTTCTGCCTTCGCATCCGGTTCTGTATATCTGCTGAAACTGCTAACAACAAACAGTTAGCTTATCTTAACTACTTGTTAATCAAGTGAAGAATGCAGCTCCAAATAAATCACTCACAGGGAGTGATCTGATTAACTGTACTAACTTCAAATGAACTGATAGGACTGACATTGGGGTTAATTGGACTTGAAGCTAATGTTTATAGTCAAGTCTGAGCCGCTGTCTTGCTGATCCCGTAAAACACCAATAGTTCTGCGTTCTTGGTTTCCCCAAGTAATCCTCATAAGGTTAATACAGTTAGTGCGATTCCATTTGAAAACCGTCCTTCATCTAGTTGCTGCCTTCTGTGAAAGCTGACTACCAAACCAACTGTTATAGTTTATGAACACATACAGATGCCAAAGTGTGTTATAACAAAACGGGGAATGAGGACTTGAATTAACCAATTTGCAATCTAGCTAGTCTTTGTATTCCATTCATTCTCCAAACCCCACGGGATGCAACAGACAAGTAAGGACATACTGTACTTTACAATAGCAGGTATCACAACGTTAAAACATTTCACAAGTGTAACTAGCACACAATAGTGAAATAGATGCATTTGCTTAATATAATTACTTTGCAATGAATAGTAGCCCACCTTTCTGGACATTGTAGAAAACATTTATTTTGTAGACTGTGCCAGAAAAGTGTAGATTCAACTCCATGTTCCTTTTTAAGGCTGTAGACTGTAATACATTTTAAGTAGTTTTCAAATCCCCATTTACCTGTATGTTTGGATAACAAATGCATAAAAAGTCACCTCATAGTTATATTGTCCACATGACCACACCATTATTGAAACACCTGTTTAACACGGTGTCAACTAAACCATTGTTAGTCTTACTGAAGCAGGGTTCATTGAACTTTATGGATTGCACAGGTGTGTCTAAATAACCTGTGACTCAGTGTAAGAAAACAGATCAATCTGATTCCTGTCTTTGGTCGGAGATATAGCTACAGATCAAATTTGGAAAGGTGTGTGGCACAACGACACAAAGAAAATGAAAAAACAGTGCTACATTCACTTTCAATTCCTTTACTCCATCTCTTACATTTCAAATGAGGACAGACTGACTACAGACAAAGTTTGATTAGTTTTGCTGTGTTTTAGGTCAACCCCAAGCTGTGGGACCCAACGTTTTTCTTCAGTGCATGGACGCAAAGCTAATGCGCAGGTGGGTGTGGTATTAAGGCATTTTTTTTCAGATTGAAAAACATGTGGCTTTTTATCCAGACTCTATCACTAGACTTTAAACAAGAATGTTTTTTAATCAAAGATAAGAATAAATGTCACAGTTCATGATTATGTTGGGTTTCTGTTAAACTTAAATGTAGATGGCTTCCAGGCTGAACAAGATAAGTTGTTGAAAAATGTCAAGTGAAAACATAGTGTACATTTACTTACTTTATTATTGCCCATCCAATTTCTTTTTAGGGCCACTAGCGCACGTCAAGACGCCACTGGAATGGACATCACCAGCCGCTGTACTCTGGGGGACCCCAACAAGCTGCCTGAAGGGGTCCCCCAGCCTGCACGCATGCCCTACGTCTCGGACAAACACCCGCGACAGACCCTGGAGGTGATCAACTTGCTGAGAAAACACCGTGAGCTCTGTGACGTGGTGCTGGTGGTGGGTGCCAAGAAGATCTACGCTCACCGTGTCATCCTGTCCGCCTGCAGCCCGTACTTCAGGTACCAAGAGACAAACACTGAATTCCACTCAGATCTGGGGAAGGAAATCAATCCACTGAGGTCACATAAAAGTGCAGGTGGAATACTTTTGAGTGCTGGCTATAACGGTGATATTTGTTCAGGGCGATGTTCACTGGAGAGCTGGCAGAGAGCAGGCAGACTGAAGTGGTGATCCGCGACATCGATGAGAGAGCCATGGAGCTGCTCATTGACTTTGCCTACACATCACAGGTAACGGCAGTTGTAGTAAACCGTGTTTATATTTGGCATCAGGCATTGGCGGTGTATCGTTTGTAGTAACACAAAATGCAATGTTTCCCACAGTTTCTCGCAAATCTACCACTACTACCATCATGACCAAAAATCTCAATAACATGACAAATAGTGATAATGGCAGCTAAATATGTCAAAAACGAAAGCTACCTGCTCCAACAATTCTGTAAGTCTGAACAAGACATTAAATTACAGTGGATTTAATAACTATATTTTACGGTGGCCCTGAAGTGCAAGACACCGAATACAGTCACTGCTTTATTTATGTCTGTATGACGTTGTTGTGAGTGTGAACGGAGCAGCTACAGGTTAGTTTAGCCTGATGGATCCGATTCCATTCAGAAAACACGCATTTTAAAAGCTTTTCACCTGCCGTCTTGTCTGCAGACTTGTTAAAGCGTTAATTTATGGTTTTTACTAACCGTTATCAGTATGTAGTTACTTCGGCATGACTTTGAAACGTGTATTACAAATTACATCACGGTCAAATATGTTCATTTGGTTGTAGTTGGTACCTCCCATAGGATTTACATGCAAGATACGCCGCCCCCCCCCCCCCCTCTCCAGCCCCTCGCCAGGGTCTTGTTGAATGACAGAGCAAAACCACAGCTGACAGCCGCGCGGTGAAACCGGGTGAAACCCTGGCGTGAAACTAGAGTGATTAGAGCGATGGCGAATACGATTGGTAGTCTCATACCATAGTATTATACATGGAGATAAGGCCCTTAAAAACCATGAATTAAATAAAGCATTAAATTCTGTGTTTACTGTTGTCATTCAAACAAGACGCTGAGAGTATCTCCATGTAAAATCCTATCGGAATCGATATCGAAATCGAAGTAAAACTAACCTGTAGCTGCTCCGTCCACACTCACAACAACGTCAATACAGACATAAATAAAGCAGCAACTGTTTCGCCATGACATAGACAGTCTGTGTTTTGTAATATGATTAAAGATTATTCTTGCAGGTTTTTTTTTTTTTTTCTACCATTTATGCTTAAACTTGCTTGAAAATTACAAATTAAAAAAGTGAATGTGAGGATTTGAGTATGTTTTACGAGACATAAGGGCAGGAATTCAGAGGAAAGAGCAATTTGAGTTCTGCTCTTAAGGAAACGGCTTTTTTTTTAAGGTCATACGTCAAAACCGCTCATATACATAACAAAGGGAAACATCTCTCGCCTCTCTGACGCGGGTCAGAGTTAGTAGTTGCGTTGAGCGGTTGTGTTTTAGTGAGCTGGTATTTTTCGGTAGTTTTACATTGTATTGTTACCATTTGTAATCATGGTGCAGTATTGTAGTTTGTGCAAGGTTGCCACAAATACCAGCCTGAGGACATCGAGTCCGCAGTAAAAAGGACCGGAGCTAGCGTTCAGTTCCTGGGTGCGTTGTGCATCCACCTCCCTGCAGCATATATTCTCCACAGCTTTATCAGGAAACCGTATTACTTCTCTCTCCCCCCTCCTTCGCTGCTCTCTCTCTCTATCTCTCCCCTCCGGTACACGGCACCGTAAGACGTAGTGTGGAGTGCATTGGGTAACGCTGTGGTGGCTTGTACTGCTCCATTGCCGTTCCTTTGTGTTTGTTTGTTTCCCCCTGTCTGTGGTTGTTTGTGTGTGCGCCTGGTGGCTGTCACTCCTGGCTCCCGGCTCATCTCCACTCACCTGCTGCAATCAGCTGTGCACTCTCCCCAACTACAACCTGCTTTCCCTTCAAGCCATTTACACAACGGCATATCAACGGAGGCTCCCACAAACCTTTCTCGCGCCAGAATCGTCAAGTATAAGCCGTATCTCGCGTCTCCTCCGGTACAGAGCACCGTAGTGTGGAGTTGCATTAGGTAACGCGAGATAGCGGCGATCTTGCGCATCTAGTTCTGTTAGGATCAGTATCAACAGTCCTGCCAGTACGTTACTATATTATCGAATACTACTTTAGTTATAGCCTGATATATGAGTACTAACTTTACATGTTGTGATGTGACGTTAGCTAACATTCTGTAGCTAACGCCGGTCCACTCACCAAGATAGCTGGCCCAGTTGCTGCTCAATTTTCTCTCCGATGGCCGTTATTTCTTCTAATCCTTGGCTGCTCCTGGTCCTCTTGGACGCCTAGCAGGCTCATAATTATAAGGTTGTGGTCCGTCATATGCATTCGAATATTCATGTTCAACTTCTTCTGTGTCTTCTGTGTCGAAACTAGCATTGGGATCCATGTTTATTAATACGTTACACCGGCCGCTCTCCCCCTTGTGTCCCCCATGTTACGTCACACGCGGGAGGTCACGTGCCGAGGCTTTTTTATGCGGAAGTGAACATTTCTTAAAAAAACGAAGTCAGATGTCACTGTAGTGTACATTTCTGTATATTTTTTTGAAAATCTAGTGTATTCATCATTTTCCTACACATTTATTCACAGGTGTCTTTAACCTGGAAGTTGCTCTTTAAACTTTTGTCCAGTTTCTGAACAGATATGAGGAGCTGTGAGCTCTGAGTGTGTGCTAACAGCTAACGGATGATGTGTTGGGCCAATCACGAAGCGTCATTTCTTGACTGGCAGCAAAAACAACCAATCACAGCAGTGCTTCTCTGGCTGGCTCTGTCCAATCACAAACAAGAAGTGTTCTCCCTAAGGAATACCCTTTCCGTCCAATGTGAAATGCTGTTGTGTTTTCTGAAATGCTGTTGTGTTTTCTGAAATGCTGTGGTGTCTTGCACTTCAGGGCCACCGTAATATTTCCACACTTGCACACAATACAGCTAAGTCCACAACAAGGTAATTGATAAGTATCAATAAGGATATAAATACAGCTTTTCCAAGATGCTATATCTCCCTCACAGTACAGTAAGGTCTGTCATCATTAACCCAAATAATAATGTACATTTGACTAGTAGGTAATGTCACTCTCAAAGCGTAAGAAATAGCTCAACACATCCGCTGTGAGGATGGAAATAACTAGTTTCACTCACGTGCCTCACAGCTTCATCAAGAGTGTCTGATGTCTCTACCTCCCTGCTCCTAGGTGACGGTAGAGGAGGGAAACGTGCAGACGCTGCTCCCCGCCGCCTGCCTTCTGCAGCTGGCTGAGATCCAGGAGGCCTGCTGCGAGTTCCTCAAGAGGCAGCTGGATCCCTCCAACTGTCTGGGCATCAGGGCCTTCGCAGACACACACTCCTGCCGAGAGCTGCTGCGCATCGCAGACAAGTTCACCCAGCACAATTTTCAGGAGGTAAGGACATGGATAAGAATGAGTGTTTCCACAGTCCCCTGTCACTTGTTGTTTTAAATCCGTACAATATGGTTTGATGATTCAAAGCTCCACGAGGGAGCCAGAGATGGATATACTGATCAAGGAGCATTTGACTTTTCTGTTCTCTCTTTGTAAAACAGCTGCTGACAGACTGTTCTTCTCTCTTGTCTTAGGTAATGGAAAGTGAGGAGTTCATGCTGCTGCCTGCCAACCAGTTGATTGACATCATTTCCAGCGATGAGCTCAATGTGCGTAGCGAGGAGCAGGTTTTCAACGCTGTCATGGCCTGGGTGAAGTACAGCATCCAGGAGCGCAGACCACAGCTACCCCAGGTTTGTGGATGTAGAAATATCAGTTATCAGTATATAACAGTTACTGGTTATTGTCTGTATAGTTGTTGGTGCACATTAAAGTCATTTATGCCCAGCATGACTTATCTCCTATGTTGTGTAGGTCCTGCAGCATGTCCGTCTGCCGCTGCTCAGCCCCAAGTTCCTGGTGGGAACTGTTGGGTCAGACCCTCTCATAAAAAGTGACGAAGAGTGCAGGTGAGTGCTGTTTATCAGCCATTTCAATGTCATTGGTGAGAAAAATGCTTCTTGTGGTTGAAAAATACTGAGATGAAAAACGTTTACCTTGATTTTTTTATTCACAGAGACCTGGTTGACGAGGCTAAGAATTACCTGCTGCTACCACAGGAGAGGCCACTCATGCAGGGTCCCAGAACACGGCCGAGGAAACCTATTCGCTGTGGAGAAGTCCTATTTGCAGGTCAGTATTTTACGACAAAGGTTTTGTTGTATGGTAATGATGTTTTTTGTTTGTTGTTAAAAATTAACTATATATTTTAATCCCTCCACTCATAATGTCTGGTGAAAATAAGACCATGTAATCACAATTTCTATTATGTTACAATTGGTTAAAGAATGTTCACATATCCTTCTATTTGATTAAATATATCATCCCAACAAGGGTTTTATAGAGCGTGGTAAAGAAGACTGGTCGGGTTGGTTTGCCAGGTAATATTTGACCAAAATATCTGTTATTTTTCCAGGACATTCAAATCTTCCAGGACACAGCCAGCGGCAATAACGAAATAATTTAATAATTAAAAATAACCTGTTTTAGACGATAACTTAAATCAAGATTCCGTTGCAATCGAATATGGAAACGTACGTAGAATTATGTAGAAACCACTGCCTGTTTGGAGGATGATTGAAATAACTTGCATACATCATGTGCTAATTTGAAACTGTTAACCCTCTTTTTTGTCTCCTTGTCTTGTAGTTGGAGGTTGGTGCAGTGGCGATGCCATCTCCAGCGTTGAGCGTTATGATCCCCAGACCAACGAGTGGCGGATGGTGGCGTCGATGAGTAAACGGCGGTGTGGAGTGGGTGTCAGTGTTCTTGACGACCTGCTGTATGCGGTGGGAGGTCACGATGGCTCGTCGTACCTCAACTCTGTGGAGAGGTGTGGCACGATCACTCAGGATCTGTTGGAAATTAAGATCTAGAAAAAAAATATATTTAACATCATTATTAATCGTCTTAAATTCATCTTTCCTGTCCAGATACGATCCTAAGACCAATCAGTGGAGCAGTGACGTGGCCCCTACTAGCACATGTCGTACCAGCGTGGGGGTGGCTGTCCTCGGAGGTTATCTGTATGCTGTAGGGGGACAGGATGGGGTTTCCTGTCTCAACATAGTAGAAAGGTATCTGTCATATTCTCAATGTATGACAAACCGTCCATGTAACCATCTCCACTTAGTGTATAGAAGTGTAAAGATTGTTTTTGTCCAATATTTGTCAAAGACTGAAAGAAGAAAAAGCGTCCGATAGCACCTCACCTGTAATGATGCTAAGATAATTAGCCAAATTAACTATTGTTATCTAATCCAACATTAGTTCCTCTGTGCATACAATAACTTTTTTATCTGTTGCCTGTTTTGCTGTGTTTGTGATTATTGTATTAATTCTGTTTCAGTGAAACCGATTTCTCTTTCTTGTGTGTTTTTTTTTTTTAGTCCTCCATTTATTTCTTAATTCTTTCAAGCACCAGCCTTTTGATATGATGGCCCTTTTAGCATCCTATGTTATATAGCTTTAACTTGATGGCCACAGCCCTGCCCACTTTTGTCCACGTCCACATTGACTTACTTCCAATCACATGGGCCCAAAAAAAGTGCTTAACATTACTGAAAAGCTGGTGTTTAGTCTTAATCCTAGAGATAAAACGGTGTGCTTCTTGTGCTTTAGGTATGATCCTAAGGAGAACAAATGGACTCGTGTGGCCTCCATGAGCACCAGGAGGCTGGGTGTAGCCGTGGCGGTGCTCGGGGGCTTCCTGTACGCTGTAGGAGGGTCTGATGGGACGTCGCCATTAAATACAGGTAGGTACTGAGTAAAGTGACAAGTACACTCTTAAAGCTAGGCGATGCAGTATTTGGCTAAAGTTCTACAGTTAATAATCCCTCCTTATCTTTGGGTGCTTCTCTTCTCCTCAGTGGAGCGCTACAACCCTCAGGAGAACCGCTGGCACACGGTGTCTCCGATGGGAACCAGGAGGAAACACCTGGGCTGCGCGGTGTACCAGGACATGATTTACTCTGTGGGAGGGAGAGACGACACCACAGAGCTGAGCAGTGCGGAGCGATACAACCCCCGCACAAACCAGTGGTCTCCTGTCGTGGCCATGACGTCCAGACGGAGCGGGGTGAGTGTGTGCTGGGATTAAGTGCAATTTAAAAATAATTTACTTCTTTACAGGCTTATGGAAAAACCTATAGATACATAATATTATCTCCAAAATATATTTTTTGAGTTAAGTTACCATATTTGATATTAAAGGAACTCAAATCCACCAATCTGGATACAGAGCTGAAGTGTTGGTGTTATTGTGTGTGTAGGTGGGCTTGGCTGTGGTGAACGGTCAGCTGATGGCAGTGGGAGGCTTCGATGGGACGACGTATCTCAAAACTATAGAAGTGTATGACCCTGACGCAAACACATGGAGGTAAGAGGCACCATGTGAAATAATAACGTTACTAAATACAGTTACTACATACAGGTTATTAGCTTTTTGCACTTTATGTTGTAGTTGCAAGGCTGTTCAACTAAAATGAAGTTGCCTTTAGCTTAGTTCATCTTTTCAGTACTTGTGAATTTGTGTTAGGGTTAATGTTAGTGTTCCACAGCAACATGTGTTTCCAGAAACAATGTTCACAATCCTCTGTTTGTACAGATATTGGATATTTATCTGAAAAACATTATCATAGAATATCACTTAAATTATTGAATGTCCTGTTTCATAAAGACATGTCATAATTGACTGAGATCTTTAAGCCATGTAATGTCACACTTCCTGTAGAGTTTGAAATGACATGAAAATACCCAAAAAGTAGAAAGACCCAAAAGGAACCAGAACACATTCTTCCTACTGCACTTGAACTTCTCCTTCCTCATCATTTGCTTCTCTTCCCAGGTTGTACGGAGGAATGAACTACCGCCGGCTAGGTGGGGGGGTGGGTGTCATCAAAATGACTCACTGTGAATCCCACATATGGTAACCCCAACCCTCAGCCCCCCCCCCCCACACATACACAGTCACACACTTCTCATCACGCTGCAAAGGATGCCTCTTTTCATCGACTCCTGTGCCTCCAAAAGAGACGCTGCAATTCATGCGAGGATGAGAAAAAAGTGGTGGGTTGGGGAAGAGAAAGAAAGAGGGACAAACTTTGAACTCATCCCCCACTCGGAGGCCATTCACTTCAGAATGCCCTGCTTGTCTTCATTGATTGACCACCATGAAGTGCACTGAGAGCTGAACTCCTCCGAGGAACATATAGCTTCCAGTTTCCCCAGTGTTCCCCTTCTTAGCCTCTCCGTGTGGGACATATCAAACTTTACAATGATTGCTGCTGCGGAAGATGACCTTACACATCTTAGGTTTAAAAAAGGTTTAAGCACCAGGTCCCTGGAAGAAGGATTTTCTCAGTCTGGTCCAACTGTGAAAGCATCTATCACCTTCCCTTGTTGTCATATGCCAGCCCCCAAAACGGTGGTTACTGACCACCACCCTTAATGAGTTTCAAAGAAAACAGCAGACTAGAAAAGCTTCTGTTAATGGTGTATGATTCATATTTTTCAAGAAACTCAACATTAGTGTTACATTTACTCTGTTACATTTTGAAATCTACACTTTTTATTTTTTTATTTTACCATGCATACATCTCAGCTGTGGCTGTCACGTCTCTGGGCCTCATTTGTAGCATCAAACAGTGGAAAGCTGTCAGGCAGTCTATTTTATGAAGGCTAGGTGTTATGGCTCGATACCCTGAGAGGAAAAACACAACTTATTTCACCGGAATGATGGCGTAGTGTTCCTTCTTTTTTTTGTATGAGGAAGTCACCGCAACATTTCCTTGTAAAGTTGTTGAAGGGGGGGTCACTGCTTCTGCTCACCTGCGGCTGTTTGCTACACAAGTTACCGAAAGAAGTTTGTAAAAATAAAAAACTGAACTTGTTCGATCTAGACAGCAGCGAGGCCCAAGTCAGTTCAGAAATATTAATAGAAAAATGCAGGACTCATTTATTATTATAATATATAGAAAAGCATTCTCTAGCCAAGAGATGTTTTGACGTTTCAGGAGTATACTGCATAAAGCCTGGGTATTTTCTCTTTTTTTGAGTCAATCTCATAATATCCCTAATTCTGTTACAGGTTTAACACTTAGGATCAAAGTCTGACCGCTGAAATATTTCATGACAAATGCAGTAGTATTCCCAGTTTGCCCCACATGAACATGATTTTTAACTGTATATGCATTGAAAAGTCAGTAATTAAAAGTTGTGTTTTCTTGACACAGTCATAGGGTTTAGAAACAAACAGGTCCTTTTTGTTCTTTATTCTCACTTCCAACGTGTGTCATGTCAGTATACACTGCAGCACAGTGTAATGGCACCTCCTGCTGGAGGAGAGTTGTAGTTTAGCAATGACATAGAAAAAAAGAAAGAGCCTTTAGACACAGACTTTTGCAAAGATTGGGGTTCTTGCAAGGTTAATATATAAAACACTACAACTAGATTCTGTTTGAGATTATTTCCCATCCTGCCCCAGGTAGAAATGCTCTCATGTTCACTGTGTAACACCAGTTTCTCCAATGTTTCTACAGTCCCAACATAACCCACACTTATTGTGTTGTCTCCCTGTTTAATGTCTGCACAGAAGTGGTGGTTAATATAATAAAAGACTGACTAAAAACAGCTTGGTTTAACATCAACTTGATCAAGATCACAGGAGTGTGTAACAACTAGCAAAACTATTGTGATTTTAATAGACATTGTAATGTTTATGTGTCAGAGAAATAGCTTGAAGTGGTCCCTAAGTGATCTTAGCTCAATGTGAACTAAAGTGGAGATAGTTTGAATATATGGGGACATTGGTTTGAATGAATCTCAGATTTGTTTGCACTGTGATTGGAAATGTATTTTAGATTGTATTTTTGTTCCCCCTTAACTATATTTTATATGGGTGTTCAGATGTGGCCCGAGGGGAGGGGGGGGGGTCAACAATTCTTATGGGAAGACATTTCAGGCCCTCACACAGAGGATTTATTTCATAGATTCAACACAACATGGTTTGACTTGCTCTGTGTCACAGACATGCCATTGTGTGTGGAACAAATGCAACGTTACAACGCTGGTGTTATGCATTATAATAACCTCTTTTCCTAACCCTAATATTGGTGTTAATATTTAATATTATGGCAACCCAACATTTTGCTGCCTTTAGTTTTTCTATGCTAGAGGGAGATTTGAAGTCGCATGATCAAAGTTTGGCTGATGAGGACATTTTGTTGAATAGTTTGGGTTTTTTGGGTTATTTTGAAGTCTAAAATGTTGATTTTCAATGGAATTGTAGAATTAGCATTTTTCTTAGAGTTTGACTTTATAAAAAAGGCTCCATAACACACCCTCCATATTGATTGTGGTGTGTGCTTCTCAAAATGAAATGTTCTAGCCGTTATCAAACAAAAAAAGGATGCAGGTCAGCCAAATGTGTATGCCTGCTTCTTGAAAACTTCCAAGAATACTTTGCTATTTTCACTGCCACAGAATTACAAGGAACCCCCACTCAGTTTAAAACATATTGCTTTGGTTCCAGAACAACCTGTTTTTTTCCAAATGTTTTTTCAAGGAGGAATAAAACACCATGTCATCATGTCTTTGCAGTGATGTGCATTTCAGCTTATCCAATGAGGTTTCAATTATTTATTTTGTTTACATATTCATCCTTTTTAAACTACATGTTGAGATTTGTGGATGTTCATTGGACAGCGGCAGAAAAACATTTGAACCTTTGATATTAAGGCAGTGTTTTATTCGGACAGAAAAACCTTATTCCCCCCTTTTACCCACATCTTTATCGTTTTGATTTGGACTGCATTTGGTTTCCCAAACTGAGTAAGGTTTCCAGTAAACCATGTAAGCTACTAATGATGCATTTTGATTGTGATGAACAGAAGTCACCCAGCCTATGTGAAAATATGTGTTTTCTTTTCAAGCCTCTGCAATTTGTCCGACATGTGACCCTAACATGGTTGTGCTAATTGTTGTTTGTTCTCACGTATCAAACAGCCGTCTCAGCGCAGCACTCGTCACTACAGCATCTTCGGCTTTCACCATGTTCACTACGACAACGATTAAACTTCTTTCCTTGGGAATAAACCCCCAAAACAAACCTGTGTCTGACTCATTCTAACTGACACTATTTTTTCGTTTGAGTGAGAGAACACAAGTGGTACAATCCCGACACATGTTCCAACACTATAGTTTATAAGCTCAAAATGCTCATGAACAGCAAACGTGAAGAATTACAGCAAAAAAGGACAATTTCATTACAAGCTGCAGAATACTCGTGCAGGTTATGCGCTGTTTATCCTGTGGGTTTTAAGAGTCATTCATCAAAAAGTTGAATTCCGATGTAATGTCTGATATTGCGAGGCTCTGTTTTAAGTCGGTAAACAGCTTGGCAGAGACTCAGCCTGTAGTGATGACTTCAGAGAGGAATCCTGGAGCTGCTCCACATTGTTGATTAATGCCAAAACTCTCTTACTCTGAGCCAGGAGTCGCTTAGCAGTAAGCATCACCATGGCAAACTTAAATCTCAGGTGGAAACGAAGAGCTCATTGAGGGGTGTAATCTTAGTTGTTGCTTTCATTTACAGCGTCTTTAAACATCTTTAAGCGTTCAACAATTACTCGAACACTATTCTGTCAGCCATTAACCTTAAGTTGTAGAAACAACAGCAGGAACAAATGATCTTTTATCTCCTGCATTAATCCAGCATTGTATTCATTTCTAAGGAACTCAGTATCCATTTAAACCACAAACACACACCAACAGTTGGCCCTTTGATTACACAGCATGATTTGTGTTGTGACTCTGCAAAAATCATTTGCCATGTGCTTACAGTATGTTTGCTGAAGGGAGAGTTTGTTTTTTGGGAGAATTGGCTTTGGAACAGTGGGGCAACTTGTTTGACTATTGGGATCTTGGCATAACAGTGTTGCAGGGGATGACGTGTATTTGTAGGTTGACCTCGAAAATGATTCCCTCGACAATGACGTTTTGCCAATGGATTTAGATTTATTTTTAGGACTCATTCCTGCAACTTTCTATAACCACGTGTGCAATAATTAAGGATAAAAAGGACAGGACACTTGCAGGATCACACAAAATCTCTTCAAAAGCATTCTTGTCATTCTTGTCATCCTTTTCACCTGTGTGGTCACTAACTAAACCACACTGTTTAAAAAAGAGGTTAACAAAACAGCTTGGGCTATTCAATATTATAAAAAAAACTTTAGTTTTACTGTTGCATGCTGGTGTCGTGCTTGGTAGGAGTGGAAGCAGTGAACTGTGAAATGTCGGTAGGCTCTATTTTTGTTCTGCTGTTTCCCTCAAGGCACCTGAGGGTGGACAAACACCCAGCACACCTACAAACACACAATCGTGAGAACAGTACATACACATCTCCTTCTGTTTCAGTACCACTTTTTATCTCTTTCTCATCTCGTTCTCCTTTTATGTCTCATGAATGAGCACTGTGCCAATGGCTGCAGGCATTTCTTTACTGAACAATCTCTTGTGTCCGTCCCAGAAGATACACCCTTGCTCTAAAATATACACTAAACCAAAATTTGCTCTGGGCAGGAAAACGTTTTCAATTCTTATATTTCTGTATGGCTCGGCTGGAGCTGGCCTTTGCTCCTGTATGTTGACTTTATATATGTGCATCTCATCTTTCATGGCGTAACCTTAACACTGAGCCAGAAACACAACACACTGCCCAACATGACCAGCTGCTCCTCAGAGAATACATGGGGCAGATGATGTGATCTTGAAAGGCCAAGGGTTATGGTTATATAGTCCATATTCACATTGACATAACAAGGGTAAGATGTAGCATTACTAGCCTTTGCCGAAGTGAAAGCTTTTTAAATGCAAACTGCCAAGTGAATTTAACTTGCAATATATGGATGACTTATACATGTATTTGTGTAGGATACAGTATGAGTAATGTATGAAAAAATAAACAAGATCGGGCTCCTTTTTTAAAAAACAGATCTGCGATGGAAATATGTCGATGTTTGGGTTTGATTGACAAGAGCTGGCAAGCTGATCTCCGGCACGACCCTAACCCTAACCCTGTGGGTGAGATTGTATTGCTGAAAAGTAATTTTAAGCTATCTGTGCACTGTTAGAAATGAACTATTCCCTGATGTTTGTTGGAATGCTCATTCAAGAAGCTCGGCTGCAAAGTCCAAACTCCATTTCTGTTATGCTTGGCTCATGCTATAGCGTTATTATGATCAGCCAAGGAGGGAAAAAGTGTTGATGCCAGCAGTCAAAGATAGGGAGTATGTAACAGCCAAGATATCTCCCACTTGGTGAGAACCACACAAGTGTGACATCTAAATAAAATCCAATATGCACATTTAGAGACCCCTTTTACATCTTCCATTGAAATAACTCTCGAATCCAGATGGTATTAAAATAAGATGTAACCCCATTAGTTTACCAAATGGCGAAGTAATGAATCCTGAGAGCAGATATATGACTTATTCCCACCAAAATTGACATTGGACTCGTTTTTCATGAGCAACATTCCTTGAAATAAAACGTTATATTTACAGACCAACAAATCCAGATAAAGTGAGTTTTATCACGCCTTTTTGGTATCGGCTCCATGTCTGCTCTCCAAAAAATGCTTATATAAACATATTCATTAGTAAGGCTACGTCTTGCACTTCTGTTTACATAATCCTTTATATTTATATACTATATGTTCAGCGTTGTTTTTTTATTAGCACTCCTGCTTTTTTTTAATAGGCAGAATATAGAAATGATTTCCTCTGGATGAGACTCTCTTCAAAGTATGTATGAGTATTATATCCTTGTGTGCCGTTATTTTTTAAAAACATAAGCATAGCATGGATAAATACTATATACTATAATACTATAATAACTAATAATAACTAATATAACTATAATACTATATCATATAAGACATTGTGAAGTTACAAAAATATCATTAAAAATATGTCGAATCAGGTTTTGAATGTGCCCTTATTTTATTGACAGACCATGCTGTGATTTGGTCTCTCCTCCTCCTCCTCCTCCTCCTCCTCCTCCTCCTCCTGAGGAACACCATGAAGGTCAGTGTGTGAGGAAGGTTGATTATCCTGATGAGATGCTGATTACAGAGTAGGTGCTCTTCAGGGTTCAGAGACAGTCTGCTGCAAATTGGTCTGGGTCAATAAGGATGTGAAGAAAGAATGAAACTCTGCGTTTATGTTGATTGTTATAGCTGCTGTTTCTGAAAATTGTCTTTTTGTCTATAATGGTGATCACTGCTGGAAGCTGGCAGTGCAAAAACGTCTTTGTCTAAAAAAAGAAAGAAAACGTCCTCGAGATGAGGAACATGTTGACAGGAACATGACTTATCCCTTCAGATGTTCACTCTACAATATGCAACACTTTACCTCGAGGCACTTTGCAAACGCTGTCATCTTGAGGAACTGTCTACGCTGAAATGGTATCTAGTCTGAAGTAACAGGCAGAAATAAAGCCGGCACAGATGTTAGAGAAGCAAACAGCAAATTGTAAAAGCCAAATTATAATTCTTGACCACCATGAGTCTTCACATTAGTATTGTAAAGATACAGTCTATAACATTTCTGGATCACCTGGTGTTTTTCTATCTATTGGAGTGATTTGATTGCTATTTGAGGTAATTACATTCTTCCCCTGCTGTTTTCTGACCAGCAAGTCATGATGATTTCAGCTGATTGCAGTCTCTGCAAGAAAAGCCATTTCTATTCTCTTTCCTTTCCCTGCAAAACATCTTAAAGTTCAGAACATTGCCACATCCAGATATAAAAAATGTATTATTTATTTGCAAGCTTAGCAGTGTACTGACTTCTTGAGTTTCTCACATAGACTCTGAAACACTTGCAAGTGAATGCATTGTCTGAATGTTGTTTGAGCATTTCCTTGGAACAAAATGCTACATGTTTGATACATTCTGGAAATGTTGACGAAAACCTAATGGCTGAAATCCTTTTTCTTTCCACACCCGTTTTCTTTCTTAGCGTCTTTCAGTTAATTGTTTTGGGCTTATGGTCGCTTACTTTACTGTACTGGTTCAGTTTCAATCAGAAGAGACTTCCTTTTTTGCTTAAAGAACATTTATTGACCCCTGCGCCATTTGATAGAAATGTTAATAGTCTTTGGTGATTAGACCCCGATCCTGATATCGTATTTTATGCAGCTGTGGAGTGAATGCTTGAACTTGCGCTGAGCTTCATTTCACAAACCTAATTTCTTCTAAAGACAGCTGCTTACGGCTGATGAACTCTACTGTACGAAACTTGCTCAGCACCAAATTGCAGACAAGCTGGTGAACATAGTGAAGCATTTAGCAGCTAAAGACCTTGATATATTTCTACCCAGTAAATATTGGATTCACGAATTTCACGCAGATGGACAGAAACATGACTTAAAAATAAATATGATTGCTTTATCTCTTTTAGAATAAGCACATGTATAATCCCACCCATGACCACCTATGAAAACACTATTAGCCAATAAATCATTAATGCAGTTCAGTCAGACAACTCACGTGTTTCTTTAACATGTTTATTAGAAGCAGCATATAGTTGAGTTTGGCGTCTAGGCTCGGGCCTCATCACTCCACAGATATACATAGCATGATGAGTGATGATTAAATAACTAACCCCCCGAGCCTACAGGTAGAAGCTGGGGTGGTGGTGGGGCAGGCAAGCAGCAGCGACGTAGAGGTAGCTGCAGCAATAGCAGCAGCAAGCAATGCATAGAGAGAGAGATCTGGCAGGTTAAATAGAGCGGCATATCAAGGAGACTCTGTTTGGTTGGTTGTAGAGGGGCAAGGGGCGTAACATTTTACTGTTTTATGGCATTAGTTTGATCAAATGTAGTGTATATATGAAATAAACATATAGGTGAAGATGTGTATTATCGATTAACGTATTGTTCATATATTTTTACGATAGTTTGCCATTTATAGATATATTTTGTATTACAAATGTCAATTCTGTTTCTGTTCATCATATGTTGTCACTCATCATAAATCTCAGTAGGAAACTTTATGTGATTTATGTACCTGCTGCAATGCCTCAGAAGAGTGTTTCACCCCCC